GGGGGGGGGGGGGGGGGGGGGGGGCCGGCTAGGGCATGGTCCTAGCTAGACTGGATGGTCAGTTGGATTTTGGTTTGGATTCTTCATTTGTACTAATTTCTGAAAGATTGGCCCTGAGCTAATATCTGCTGCCAATCTTCCTCTTTTTTTTTCTCTCCAAATCCCCAGTACATAGTTGCATATCCTAGTTGTAAGTCCTTCTAGTTCTTCTATGTGGGATGCTGCCACAGCATGGCTTGATGAGTGGTGTGTAGGTCCATGCCCAAGATCCAAACTGGTGAACCCTGGGCCACCAAAGCGGAGCACATGAACTTAACCACTCGGCCACCGGTCTGGCCCCTGAAATATATATTTTAAACTTCAGTTTTCTCTTTTATAGAAGTGAATGCTTCTCAAATGCAGGAGTATCCACAATAATCTTTTACCTGAACGCGCCCCTGGGACAACACATTCCTCAATTCACTGAGAGCATCTGACTTTAGTGTTAGGACTTCCCTCTGAGGTTGCAGCAAGGTGGGGAGTGTGGAAATCGTTCTGACCAGTGTGTTCTCTCTGATTTTTCACAAAATGCCCTGGATCCTCCCTCTAAGGGAGCCCTCACCATCTCCTGTCAGTGGAGTTTTCACCCTGGGGACCCTCACATTCATCTTCATTGACCCCACCCCAGTTCACAACTTTGTGTTTGATCTATTTCAATAAGATCTTTTCTAATCATCATAGTTTTCAAAAATCAGAACCGATGATACCTGAGCATTGTAAAACAATGCTATCATTTCACAAGTAAAATATAAAAATGTCCCCAGTTCTCCCTTTCTATCTCCACAGCTGTGTACTCTGGAGTTAACAACTCTAGATAGTAGCCCCCTATGAATTCCAGTCATTTCATATGCAATAAGCAGACTTGTTCTGTGAATACATTTGGGTTTATGTTTTAAATAAGCCTTTGAAGAAGGCTTTCCCTGGATATATCCTAATGAATTGTCTGAATGTAGTGTTCTTACCAACTTGATT